AGAGAGAGAGAGAGAGAGAGAGAGAAAGAGGGGAGAGAAAGAGAGAGAGAGAGAGAGGTGGAGAGGGAGGGAGGGAGGACATTCACTCTCGCACGCTGGACCCAGGTTCAATTTCGGAGAGAAGATAAATTTTTATTGAGTATCTCGGTCTTTCTGCTGGGATGTTGTGTCCCTCTCAGCCCAGGTTGTCCCTGTCAGAAGCCTGACTCTTAAATTATATATATAGATTATGTCAATAGAGGCATACAAATAAGATCAAATTCTCTCTTTTAAAAGAAAAAAATCATTTTTACATGCGTACAACTGTATTGTTAAATCTGGCTCCACCATTCACTGAGTGCGTGGGCATGAGCATGAAGTTAGCTCAATTGGTCTCATGCTGGACTACAAAACAAATGGCCCGGTTCAAATCCTCAGAGAGGCTTACTGAACTTGGACAGGCTTGCTCTGTGCAGTTTATTAACACTGTGCAGTCACTCAGCCAGCGGTACAAAATACCCCATCTGCTCACCCAGCCAGGAGAGCGACAGTGAGGGACGTCTCAAGCCTGCGCCAGGCGACCAGAACTGATGATTTTCACCGGCGCATTTTTGCATCAAGTGACCGCACCTATCAGAGATGACATGGTAGTGAAATTTAGACGTCTCACCTCTTAATCGCTTTGTGACAGCTCCCGTACGCCGTACGCCCAACATTGTGTGCCAAGATGCCATCTTCCCATACAATGTATGTCCTAAAACCATCTGATTATGACAATAGCGTGGAACTTTGAACTACATACACCGTACGGGATTTCATAACTGCCCTACAATAGCTTTGGATGTCCTGACCAGCCGAAGTTGGGTGCAGTAAAAGTTGGAAAAACCATACGCCATGAAGGGGTTAAATGTCACAAAGGAGTTAAATCACATCACAGTGTTGAAAGGAGCGCTAAATGTATACAATGTTACTACTTCCTAGTGGCTGCATTATGTATAGTCTGCTTGTTAAACCCCCCGGGGCAGTGCCACTGACCGAAGTGTCTTTAGGCCATTCCCAAAGGGGGGACATTTCTCGTCCAAGCACTGTACAATTGTAAATGGGCTGATTCATGTCACGCTCATAACTGTGCCTGATCTAAAACAGGGAACTGCTGCTTTTTCTTTCTTAATCCTTACTATTGTCATTTTCCTATACTTCTTTTGTATGTTTGTCACACTCTTGTGACCTGCTATTTCCGGGGTGCCTTGATAGTTGAAGCAGACTTTGTGCTGTTGAAGCTAGAGAGGTGAGCTGAGTAAGTTTGATTCCCTGTAAAGACTTTTCTGTTGACACCTACCCCTTGGCACTCATATGACTTTATGCAGTTGCGAGTGCCGTAAAACTCTCTACTATTTTTTTTTTTTAAAGTTTGCTCGTTACTTGAAATTTCATTAACAAAGATTTAATTTTTATTTCGTTTCTTTTTTTCCCTCCCCTGTAGGAGTGAAAGGCCGACCCCCCCGGGATCCAAGAGGTAAGAACAGAAAGAAAAGAAAAAGAAATCCTTTTTAAACGAGCGTGAGGCTTGCTGGCAAAATGAGTTTCTGTTCGCATTCCATGAATGGGGATATTTGCCAAAAATCATCACAGGAGTCAGATTTGTGGGTTTTTAACTTGATGTCATTTTCTTCAAATTTAACAATCCTTTTATCATTTCATACTAATAAATTGTACGAAATCAACCTATAAATTTGATGCATCTACCTATAAATTTGATGTATCTGTATCCAAAAGGCTAAAATCCGAGAAGTAACTGATTTTGTCAGCACACCTAACAAATGAAAATGGAAAATTGAGATTGGGAAAAGATCAGTCACAGAATTAAAATTACTGACTTGTTGCTGTTGACATGCATACTTCCTTCATAATTTATTTTTAAAGATTATAGTAAAACCAAACCAGATGGGTGGTTGATGGGTGCTCTGGTTTGGTTTGCCCCTTCCTTCATATCAAATATCTACTGCCCTTATCTTTTCTCCTTCTTTGTATATTACTTTCTAGTTGTATCGCCTCTCAGTGTCAGCACTAATATGACCTATTTGTGGTGAAAGTGCTATAAAACTCTTACTAAAACTAAAACTCTAATTGAACCATGCTCTCAGTTCTGATTTTAAAATTGCTTAACCACCGTACCTACTTTCTGTATATTATATATTTTCTTGCTTTTTTTCTACATTTACAATTTGAATTTTGACAAAATATTTCTTGAGCACATACGACTGATTCATTAGATTAAGAAATGGCAACAACATTTTTTTCTAAATTTGGGATTTGGTACATCTGAACAGCTGACCAGCAATAGATCTATATGATATGTCATAGCTTTCGCCCAATGGGCCTTTTATGCTTGAGTTGAGTTCATAGGGACATTTCTACGCCGACTTTGCTGCTGTCTTCCTGAGTTATGTTCTTACTTCTTCTTCTGCATTCCCGCTGATGAAATTCTTATATTTAATTCATAAATCTTTTTCTTCTCCAGCTTACTAAGACCTGTCTGTTTGATGCCGCTCTCCTCACAAATCATCCTGAAGTGGAACCTTTTGGCTGTCATGGAATGTTGGCCGACTGGTGTACCGTAGGCTTCTATAAAGAACTGTCGTTATTGGACCTTGTTCTGAGGGCAGTGGTGGTCACGACTACTTCGTCGTCGTCGTCGTCATCATCATCATCATCATCATCATCATCATCATCATCATCATCATCATTTATAGTAAAGTAGTATGAAACAAAGATGCCTTTGTATATTTTTTTGTATACTTGTTACAGAGTTATTTCTTTGTCATTTTAACGGCAAAGTTATTGCATAGCATGATCAGTTATGTGTAGAAAGACACAGAAAAATTCAGATTTATCGTTAAAAGCTTGAAAAAAAACTTTTACCTTTGGCTCTTTGCAAAGTAAGCACTGGGGAAAGTGTTTAACTCTTTCACCACCAGGAGGTTTTCCTCACCTGGACCGGGCCCTATCTGTGACCTACTTTCTGATTCTGCCTACCGTCAGACAAATTAAAGATTTTGAGTTCAATTTTCAATATTAGCCACATTTATTATAAATGAAAAGAAAGGGGAAATAATGATATATATCTCAACATGTAGCTAAAAAACGATCATTCTTCAGTCTGAGATTTAACTCTTTAAACCCTGAGTTTTTTCCACCGTTTCCCTGAGTTTTTTCTACAGTCACCTAAACCTAGTGCACTATGTCTCATTATAACCCCAAAAGCTTGCCTCCAACTTCTAAATGGTGGAAACAAAGGCTCAGTCATTCCTAAAAAACTTGGTTCGGGAATAGTTCCGAAAAACAAGCAAAAACTAGCACTAAATGAAACAAAACAGTTGTCACTAGTACCGGGCGTCCGATGGAGAACAGGGTTATTACCGCCGGGGTTTAAAGAGTTAAGTTTCAATTATGACAAAAGTAGGTCTTGTTTTGAAGCAGGAAGTGGAGTGCTGAGAAACATGGCTGGCGGTCCGACGTTGGGAGTAACACAAGCCGTGTGGTAGTGAAAGAGTTAACAGGATAAATTAAAATTTGTCTTGTCAGATGATCTGTGGTGTACTCTCCCCTGTGATTTGTCACAAAGTTATTTTTGGAGGGAGCACAGATTAACCCTATCCGTACGTCGTGTTTTACTATCGTATCCATACGATGTGGGGAACTCTGTGCCACCACTTAACCCTATCCATACATTGTGTTTTACTATCATATCCATACGACGTGGGGAACTCTGTGCCACCACTTTCCAAAGAGGAAATTTACTCGTTAATCCGATCCATACACTTTGCATAGCAATCTGTCAAAATGATTTTTTTGAGAAATACTGAAAGTTTCAAAGAGATGTTCGTACTAGAAGTATTCTAAAATGTGAAGTATATACAACCACGGGGGTACAGAATGACCCCAGGGCGTACGGATAGGGTTAAAATGACTATGATTTTGTGTACCTCAAGTAAGGTTTACTACATTGTAGAAATAATATTTATATATGGCTCTGGCCATAGGTTCTGTGGCTGTAACAGTTTTTAAAAATCTGACAGGGTCAGAAAGACACAGGGTCTAAGTCACTTTTCGGAAGAAAAAAAAAAAAGATTTCTTAGAGTGACTACGCACGTCATCCTCTAGTTTTTGTATTAACTGCCGTAGTTTTATTTTCCTAGCCTTGTAATTTTATTGTTAAGTGGGATTTTGTTTGTTGTTGTTTTGTTTTGTTTTGGGGTTGTTGTTTTTTTTTGGGGGGGGGGGTTGTCTCAAAGTTATTTGTTATGAATTTAAGTCAAAAACTCTTTTTTGAATAAGTTAAGGCTTCCATTTTTTTCTAAAAGCAGTTATCAAAATAATATTGCTTTTTATTGTAATGAGCCAAAATGTACCAGATATAAGCCATTTAAGATGAATGTTCCTCACTTCGTCCAGGTGGGAATGGGTACCGAGCTTTAGAACGCAAAAGATTTTGACAGTTTGTTTTTATTTGAGTGCTTAATTAGCTGCTTGCACTGTATGCTTCCTGGAAATCCACAAATATTTCTGAGAGTTGTAGGGTCTGCTGGGGTAATAATATAGATTTTAAAGGGCATAGAATTTGCTGTTGAATGGGCATGTATATATATAATTATATATATATATACGAATGCTATTTCTCATCATTATTACTGTTATTACTATTCTTTTTCTTCTTTTTGTTTTCCTCTTGTTGTTGTTGTTGTCTTTGTTGTTATTGTTGATGTTGTTGTCTTTGTTGTTGTTGTTGTTGTCTTTGTTGTTGTCCTCCTCCTCCTCCTCCTCCTCCTCCTCCTCC